GTCGGCAGCCACCAGCATGAATACAATTTTGAACGCAGTAGCACACAGACGTGCTGCCAGGGCCATCGGTAGAAGGAGGATGTTTCAGTTCTGATTCCTCTTGGACCATGGTATATTCTGGATGGTTGGATAATTCTTCACTGCTGATTATTTCCAGAATCTCAGATTCTTTTATTGTCATGATGCCAAAAAGCAAAACGGAATTGCATGTTGTCCCACTCAGTGCAAAACTCGACGAAAAAAAACAAGAGTTTCTAGTAAATAAATACAGTTTAAACTTTAAACAGATATGTACAAATATCTGTGTGTGCGCTTGAGTCATTAAGCTGGTCAAGCTGAACTATTTCATGTAAATGTAACTTAACTGTTTGAAAGTGTCTTTATACTTGGCAGACTTTTACACCAGATGTTCTTCCTGACAAAGAGAAATTTTATCTCCAGTCAGAAAAGCAACCTATTTTAAAATCTATTTAAAATAAACTATAATGGATTTAAAAGTGATTTTTTTTAGATGCATACTGCAGACGCTGCTTCAGTGCTAGGAACAATTCTGTTTACATTATACATGCCTTCCTTAGCCAGTATCATTCGATGATACTCAACTCTATCTGTCCATGAAGCCAGATAACACACACCAATTAGCTACACTGCAGGAATGTCCTAAAGACAAGCCCTGGATGGCCTCTGATTTCCTGCTTGTAAGATTTCTGTATAGTTGTAGAGTCTTTACCCTACAATATAAAGTGCCTCGTGGCAACTGTTGTGACTTGGCACTATGTAAATAAAACTGAATTTAATTTAGATAAAACTGAGGTTATTGTACTTGGCACAAAAAATCTTGAACATGGTGTCTAGCCGGATACATACTCACCTCCAGTAACACCGAAGAATCTGAGTTGTTTTTGACCATAACAAACAAATGCGAGTCTGCTTTTTTACGTTCGTGCACTCTCTAAAATTAGAAACATCCTTCGTCAGAGTGATGCTGAAAAACTTGTTACATCTAGTCTGAACTACTGTAATTGATTATTATCAGGTTTGTAAAAAGCATTCAGTTGATCCGAAATGCTGCAGCGAGAGTACTGACAGGGACTGGAGCGAGCATATTTCTCCCTTACTTGCTTCTCGTCATTAGCACCCTGTTAAATCCGCGCTCTAATTTAAGATCCTTCCTCAGATATAAAGTCTTAAATAATCAGGCCCCATCTATCATCTTTAAGATGATAGTACCATATCATCCCAATACAGCAGTTTACTCTCAGACTGAAGGCTTATGCTTCAGCAGGAAATCTACGTTGTAACTGGAAATCCCTTTAACCCTACACTAGGGCTGGGTCATATTATACGGTTCACGGTAATACCGGTATAATGTTAGGCAAC